ACATGTACACACACACATGCATGCATACCAGATTGGCCTACCCTGGTTGTTTGGTTAGTTGTGTTTTAAACACCCATCGACAGTGCCTCCTGAAGCCCTTTTCTGACATCGGTGAATGGTGTGCGTTTGGGTCTTGATTCAGGCGATCTTCGACGTCCCTCCACCTCCGATGGTGCCAGCCGTGCCAGCGACAGCGGCACCATCAAGTTGCCGACTGTGGATTGGCAACCTCCCAAGCAACTCGTCCAGATAAGTTCGGGTTTAGGGTTTAGGGAACCTGCCTCCCTGCCTCGGAGAGACTCGAAAGACAGACGTCTTGCAGCAAGCGTAAGTTAGAATCTGTTGCTCTGCCCCGTGGGTTCCCTCGCTTCTCCTTGCTGCAGGTTTTTTCAAACATGAGAATAAGGATCGGTAAACTTCCAGCATAATTCTGTCGCCATGATACGATCTCTCTTCATCCACCAGGCCGCCATACACTGAGCCAGCTCAGCGACGACGAAGACGACGCGCAGAACGGGCAGCCCAGCTCCAAGGACAGAGGGGATAGCAAGGGCGATAAGGAGGCTTGCTCATCGTGCATTGGGAGTGGGCATGTGCCAAGAGACTGACATCTCAGACATTCTGGTTTGTGTTGTTGCGTCGTCATTCTGCATGCGGGCTTTGATCGGAACCATCTTGGGGCGAGAAAGGGTCGCGGGACTCCATTTCAGAGTTTTGCGCTTTAGCGAGCCATTTTTTTTTTTTTTTTGGGGGGNNCAGTCGACGTTGAACAACCTCCCACTCCTTTGCTTGAGATCCCCCAAAAAGTCTAGCGAAGTGTAGATGTGTGAGCACTAATTGGACCTCCTCCTCCGAGCAAGGACTGAAATCTATACAGCGGAGTTGTCTTGTAAAGTCGTACAAAGCCCGATACAAGCATGATAGACTCTCATACAATCCGACAAAACTCCTCTAAGCCCCTACATGCATCGAAAGAGACATGTTTTCAGGAGACCCGCCTATTGCGGCACCTGGACCGTCACGTGGCTGGCCTGGCCATGTCGTTGCCCGACTACGATCTGGAAGAAGGCCTCATGGAGAACGGTTCCTAATCGGATTGTTCTGAAGTGACGGGCACAAGACACCGAGCACAGCAACCTAAGTTGTCTGGGGCGCTGCAGAGTGTTTGCCGGATGTTTGCCGACAAGAGGCCCTCCGCTGAAGCGCATCTCCGTGCATCACACCGGCAGCACTTGGGCTGAAATGCGTGAGGGGTTTTGGCTCCCCACCTCCTCTTAGACCTTTAGTGTTGTCGTCTTCGGTTTATGATTGTTACCAGTGTCCTTGCAGTATCCATATACGAATGGTGAGTTACCGTTTCCCAGAACCCAGTTGTGGGAGGTTGGGACTTTTGCAATTTGGCATCGATGCCTTAGCTTGTTGAATGCTGCGAGCTGCAAGGATTCGCCTTCGCCGATGTGCAGGGCTCCCAGGCGCGAGGCGGCTTTGCTTTGTGGCTGGCAGAGAGCCTGCTGTGCCTTGAAGGTATGACGACACTCACACAATTCAAGCTTCGAATGCGCAGTGCGGTCGTGTTAAGCTGGCAGCGAGGCAATGAGCTCCAGCTGCTTTTGGAAGCCTGAAAGCCCCCAAACACTTAAATGTGAGCAACCAGGAAAAGCCAGTAGGCATTGCCGGAAAAGCCGGTAGCCGCAGTCGACATTTACTCTCGGTTCTCTTTTGCACCCGCTTCCACAATACAAGACTTTCGTCCTGTTAATGATGCAATACAACAAAAGGGATAAAGACAAGCAGGCAAATTCAGATGTTTGCGACACAATTTTGTAGGATCCTTGTAGGGGCATTAGGGGACTGCGGTGCAACAATGGCATTTCCAGGAGCGGGCGGAGCAGCTACTCACAGCCCTCGATGGCAGCTTCTTCCACGGGACCCAGGGGCTGTCCAGGGCCTTTTCGGTGTTCGTCCTTGGGTTCAGGGCCTTTGTGGGATTCAGGCTTCAGGTGCAAAGGTTGACACCGAAGATGCCCAAGGTCAAGGCCTTGGCACCGGATAAACCAAGTCCAGTCTCAAAATCCTTTTTACAAGCATGTAGGAGACCACTTTCTGCGAACTGGTCGCGAGTCCGACGTCGTGCCGTGGGTCCTGGAGAGACTCGGACAGGCATCAGCGACAGCAGGAATCCAAACACCGTAGCTTCAGCCTGTTTATCAGCCCACACAAATCCCGTACCTCATGAATCGACCTTAAGGAACCCTCAATATGTTCTCCCGCATCAGACATCGAAAAATGGGTGTTCCCTTGGAAGTCTTTATCATTCATGTTGCTTGCAATCTGGAGCACCCAACTGGCTGCTAGATTCTATAGTTGCGAGTTCATTCATTTTGGTCTGGGTACTAGTTCTGATGCCGATGCCTAGTTGGAGCACTGTACACACCGCTACAGTACGATCGTCACACAGTCAAAAACATTTGGGTCGAAGGGCCTGTCAAACAAACCATTCCTAATCCCCAAAGGTTCCCTAACCCAAGTGAAGTCCTGGTTCAAGGACTTGTTTTCAAGTTTGTGTCAGCTCTCGGAGATTTCGGAGCATGGAAACCTAGTTTGGAGGATGCCTGCACCTCCAAGGATCAAGCCCATCAGCACCGTCGGCGACGTGCTTTGGCTCATCAATTCCTAGTCGATGCCGTGCCGCCAGGCATGGAGGGGAGAAGGACCCTGTAATTTCAGGATCCAGAAGGTGGCTTTGAAATGGGGCTTGTCGTGCGGAGGCTCGAGGACAGAGAAAGAGGGAATGGGAACACCATGGTGTATTTGCTTTGATAAGTAAGCGCTGGTTTTGCCAACATGAAAGGGACGTCCTGGTGACTACCGTAAACCTGCACCACTTGGGGTTGTCCTCTATCTATCTATCCATCTATCTATCTATATGTGTGTGTGTGTACATATTATTGTTTTTTTCATTTACTTTTGCCTTGAGCTCTGCGATTCGGATGCCATTGGGCATGACGCAGACTCTGGGCCTGGGGAAGCCGTTGAAGGCGTCCTCTCGCTGATGCCTGCGGTGGCCGAGCGGATGAAATCATCGGTGACCAGCGATGCAAAGGCACGCGGCCAAGACTGGGCAGTTTGATGTAGGTTGCCCCACTCAGCATGTGTTCCCTGTGTTGACTTGGACGTGTACATTACTGCTCGAAGTTGCAGCATTTGGGATGTCAAGGACCCAGGTGACCGACCGGGCCATGGTGTATGTAGTAGGTAGGTCGGTCGGTAGGCAGGCATGCCACGACCGCATTGGCGACTTCTTTCGGCCGTCTGGCCGCTACGTTCCGAGACCGCACTCAGGAAGGCACCGGGACCGAGACGGCAGAGCGCCCGGCGAGGTCGGAGAGCAAACGTGCATTAGCAGTTGTCAGAGCCTTTGCCTGTGCTTCCAACTGTGCCCAAGACTTGCCAGCAAACTCGATACTCCAAGCCCCGCACTGCGGCATTCCTGAGTCCTGTGGTGGTGCAGGGGTCGCAACGGCGCTGATCCCAACGACCTGTGATGGCGTCGATTATCGTCATGACCATGGTAGGAGAGAGCATAGAGTATTTGGCCCAAGCACGAGAGACTCTCGGAGCAGTGACCAATCGTTTGCAACGCTGACAAGACTCGTACCCGTTTGCTGATGCGAATTCGTGCCACGTCGTTGTCCTTCTGTTGTTTCTACCCGACAACTCCTCCCAAAGCTCTTGCATCTGGACAACGACCTGACCCAGCAGATGTTAACGGGGAGAATCCTGTCATTGTTAAAACGATCCCGCTGATGCGGAAACCTGCTGACGAACCACGTGCTAATGCAGGGGGTTGGGACGAAGCCAAACCAAAGACTGGAAGTCGAGTTCCGAATCGAGTCTTGGCAGAGCCAGCTACACTCAGCTCTTCATTACGATGCACGAATTCAGGCATGTGCCTCAGACTTCTTTAGAAGCCGCCGATCGGGGTGCATAAATAATATATTCCGTCGGCTGTTTGTGTGTCTGTCGCTGTATTTGTTCTGCTCTCGGCCTCTTTCCCTCTACCTCTCCCCCTCAAAATCTCTCTCTCTCTCTCTCCCGCTCTCGCTCTCGCTCTCGCTCTCGCTCTCTCTCTCTTTCTCTCTCTCTCTCTCTCTCTCTCACTCTCTAGCGTTGCTCGTTTATCGGATCAGACCCGGCTGCGTTTTGGTACTATTACTAAGTCTACGTCTGCCGACATCTTCTGCGTTTGCTCCATGATGTCCTCTCCGAGCCCATGGTTTGCCGAAGCGCATTTATGCTGGAACAACCAGTGTAGAGCTTGAATGCGGGTTGGGGCATCCGCTTAGGGCCGCTTAGGGTTAAGGCTGTCTGCTTTGAGTTCGGCCGTCTGATGGCACCCGCCACTGGGGAAGCGCGAGAAGGGAGTGTGAAGGTGCAGCAGCCGAGGCTCGTTGCGACACTTTCAGTAGACTCAGTAGACTATAATGAGGAAGAGGATATTCTATAGGTAGGGTAGCCCCAGTTGGAGTGTGTGTTGTTTCCATCATGAGTTTATTACTTCCACGATCCGTCAAGCAAAGCTTCCCTACAAAGTTGGGCGGACATGTGCTTGTGGCAGAACTCCACGTTCCCAGAAGGTCTAGGGCCTAGGGTTCCAGGGATTATGGTGCATTAGAACTTGGGCTGGGCCTTCGCCGGAAACGCGCAATTCGATCTCTGGCGACGACTTCAACTGGGCTTGGGGGGCAGCTGATAATGATCGTCGTCACTACTATTCCTATACACTGAAGCTTGCCCATCAGTGTAGGAAGAGTGCCTTTTGAGTCGAGACCGTATCCAAGACTGAATGCCAGGGCAAAGTGATTCAGCATGAGCCTTTCTGGTACTTGGGTGCCCTTTCGACCGTGACAGTTAGGGATATTCATAGGGGCAGCCTAGGTTTGAGGGAGACTTCATATGCAGGCAGCATGTGTGTGTGTATACACTCATGGAAGACTCTTCAAGTTCTTTGGGCAACGGCTCACGGCCCTCGTAAGCCCTGTTCCTCGAGTCCAGCCTCTCTTGGTCGTCTGATGAAGTTTGCCCGAAAAGCAATACCAGACGGGGCATGGCAAACCAAAAAGCTGAATAGACACGAGATGTGGGGTTGAGGTTTTCAAAGCTCAGGGTCTCGGAGGGTTTGAGCTCTGGGCTCTGTGGATTCTGTGGATTCTGACCGGGCTTGGTGTTAAAAGCAATCGATAATTCGGAGGAGCACAGGCGGGAGTCTGAGGCAATATGAGGCAATATCTTATCTTGAAGTCGCTTCAAGCATGTCCGGCAATGCACGTGGGTTGCATCGCAGGCTCGCTGCCCCTGTAGTGGAAGACTTTGATTTGTCTCGCTGTCCGACTGAAGACACATGTTGACCCTTCAATCCAGTTCAATCTGCAGCGTTGCATCTTGCATCCAGATCATGAGTGCAAGTCTCACGCCTCGGGTTTAGGGTGCCGTGGCCAGGTCAGCACCCTTCACCCCCGATCCTGAAGCCACAACTCGTTCCGCAGCGCGCCGGATGCGCACCTTCCACGAGAAAGGATCCCCCCCTTTCTCGGAATACGACATCTACGACTGTTAGACGCGCTTTGGGCCACGGCGAGGCCGACCAACGCCCGCCGAGACCCCAGCCTTTCCAGCTAAGGAATTCATGGTTTGTGGGTTAAGGCTTTAAGAGGAGTTGTTGTGAGGTTTTGGAGTTGACTGTTGCAGGCGGTTATCTGACGAGGAAGGTGCCTGAATTTGTACAACCCGGCTTCAGCCGAGACAACCTAGTTTGGGCTTGACCGGCAGTTTTCCTGGATGGTGGTTGACCTGTCACTCTGGCAACCTCTGCATTCAAAGCCAAAGCTGAGCAGTTGGACGCTTGCTTGTGATGCAGAGCTTGCACATGCTTGCACCATTTCCACCTTTCACAAAGTCCGGTACTCAGAAGAATCCACACTCCAACAGACTTGACAGCTTCAAAGTAGCCACCCATCCCGTGAGAAACGTGGAAGCAAGGCCATGATCCCAGTGACCGGCATGTCACTGGCCCTAGGCTGCCGCACCTCACCTGGGGCAGGGGAAGGGGTTGTGATTTTGCCAGACCTAGGCGCAATGACGCAGTGGGGCTTGCTTCGGATTGTCATGGGGTAGTTGCTGAGCTTTGGGACATGCCCTGGACGAGCCATTCTCTTTGAGAAGCAGCCTGATGCAGGCCTGGCGACCCTACTGCAGCAGTGCCAAGATGCTGGCGCCTTGAGCCCAGAAACGCCCGAGCAAGGCTCAAACCAAACAACAAGACTTCGAGAATCCTACCTTTCCACATACTCCGCAGGCTGCGCCTCAGTCGTTTCAGCAATCACTTCAGGATTTGGGAGACATGGCTTGATTGAATCATCAGGACACTAAGAAAAGGTTCTAGTGATTTGAGCTGTGTCCTGGAATGTGGGTTTGAGAGGGTCTAGGAACGAACCTCTAGGCTAGACCTCTAGGCAGCAAAGAGATCCATGAATCGGGCACCCTTAGAGCCGTGCAACCACGATGGCTAAGGCATGGGGCGAAGCAGGCCACGAACGGCTCAACGAGGTGGGCTCTAGATCGATGCAACTCGGTTCCCTGACATTAAAAGCTCTGCATGGACCTGGAACACCGGAATGCGCACTCCGACAAAAAGCCCAGCAACGTAAGCACCAGGCCTGTGACCTGCATGTGACCTGCATGCCTCGGCCTGTTGCACGTTCCTCTGGCAATCATTCGACAAAGTCAAAGTTCCGTTGCTGCACAGTGCGGTTCCTTTCAAACGCGTCGGAAAGGTCGCGCAGCGATTGCTTCACGGTGTGGGATCCTGGTGCCTTCAATTCCTCTGAAACCTCGGTGCCTGGGGTTTGGGGCAGCTTTTAGGGTTTGGGATGCTGGGTTTAGGGATGTTTGGATTTGACGTTGTGTCGTCTGGCTGTTGCAACGAGTTGCTGGCCACTCAAACTTGGAACCCTACCCGGCCCTACCTGACCTGCGTCCTGATGCAGTTTATTGCAGGAACAGGGTTATTCCTAACATGAGTTTAATGATCCATTTTTGCAATGGCACAGTGACAATCTAACGCAGGCCGCAGGCCTTCCTCAAAAAGCTTAGGCAAGCACCGCGATCAAATCCGGACGATGTCGGAAGCTCATGGGGAGGGTTCGGGGTGTGCCTGTTCAGGCTTCAGGTACCGGAGAGCGGGCTTGAAACTTCTATAACTATAAATCCCCCCCAAAATGCATCGATGCATCGCGACTCGGATGCACAGACGCTGACAGCGGCATCAGTCCCTTAAAACGCAGACTATTAAAACTAAGGGTTCAGACCTTTGTTTTCATTCGAAGCAGGTCTCAGGAGGCTTGGCTCAGGCACTCCGGGATTTGGGTAGTATCGATTTCTTGGTGCTTCTTCCCAACCTCGAGGTAGCTTACACAAGTCAGCTGGTGATCCGGACCATAAGTATAAGGGCCAACTATGCAACCGTGGAGGCCTCGGCCCTCTTTAGAAATGGGAAGGATTACAAAATCCCAATGATCACCTTGCCTGTAACCCATCATAAGCGCCCTCTATCCCAATGATGACTTCTTTTGTCACCTATCTCCGAGGGCCCCCGAGATTCAACGTGTGGTCTAGGTGTCCAGCTTTTACGGCTCCGAGGATGCACTCCGACGTCGCTTCCGCGGCTTCTTGGGAGAAGGTGATGACCTCCAAGTACCCCGAGACGGAGAAGCTCCACTGGCTAACCGGCCCCAAATGAGGGTTGCTTGAAATTCGGAGCTCCTCCTGCTAGTAACAAGGATCGTAGATCTACTCTAGTAAGGGTGCTTCATTTGATTTGCCAAACTCTCAACTCCTTATCGGAGTGAATTTTGATAAAAGGTTCTTTGGGGAAGGGTCCTAGCACTTGAGAAGGGTCTGCAGCAGTCGGTTCTCCTGGTCTACTCGTGCAAGTTGAGCCTCTGCTCGGCTGAGTTGTAGAGAAAAAGCTGCATTGACACGGCGATGGATTGGTGATTGGGCAGACATGCTTGAGTGTATGGAGAGGCAGAGGGCGAGACATAGACGAGAAACCATCCATGCTGGAAGCCACGTCTTCGATTGCGGAGGCACTGGCGTCAGTTTGCTTGGGGTAGACCGACTCCCGAGGCATCATCAGAAGCCCGAGTGGACTTGCGGGCAGCGTGATGCACAGAAGTGCCTTGTCGGCATGGTATGCTGCATTGCCCAACTTTCTAGCAACCCAGAGCCTGGCACCTCTTCACTGAGCCGGAGAACCACCGCAGAGCATGTAGACGATGTCCGTCCGCCTCAAGACGCTGTGCAGCCCTGCCCGACAGCTTGAGCTTAAAATCTTGCAGGAGGGACCGGCCAGCAGTTCCTAAGTCCATGATCAAACAGAGGACAGAGCACATCCGCTGCAACGGCAAGGGTGCGGAGGATGGGCTTCTCGGCACAAGTTTGCAGAAGGGTGCTGTGTTCCATTTCAGTGTCAAGAGTTCGGGCCTATGAGTACAAGCTTGAGACTGTGGGATTTCCATGGGGGATTTCGTGGAGTTCGATCATTTCGATCTTTGCATTCACAAGCCCAGTGCCAACCCCAAGGTCGATGTTCTGTGCCCTGGCGACGACCTCAGCCAACGAAAGAATGCACAAGACCCTCTAAGAGTGAGGTCGCAGACCCCGAGGCTGAGTTCAGGGCATTCGTTTGTCGTTGTCATCCGGGACCGAGAGAATGCTTTCTGATTGTTTGGGGGGAGGGGGGGGGTTTCACAGTGTTGCCGCAGAAGAGGTTATTCGTCGCCCAGTGCTGGAAAGCCACCACTTGTTCAAGAGCGTTCCTTCAGGGTTCTGTCTTTCACAGACCTGCTGCGCTTTTCTTTGCGGGTGGCTTTCCCAAAATGATTTTGATGATCATCTAGTCACTCTGCAACCTTGTGCACAACAGTTGGGTCAAATTCCACTCAGCATCCAACCATCTTCGAGCCTCGAAGCAGCGTCTTGGCGAACAGAGCTGTCGACTGCTGTTTATATGTCTGTGCTTGCTGCTTGCTGGAGACGATGAACAGTGACGTTACCAACTGAAACTTAGTAAGTCAGCGATGTTCGAGGTACAAACCAACAATCTATAAGAGATTGTCCTAATCAGAGCCCTATCAAGTCCAATGAGCCTGCAAGTTCCCACCTCACAGTCGAGGCGTTTTTCTTTTCGCATTTTGTCGGCCACTCAGGTTCCGGAATGTCGTGGAATGCAGTGAGACGTTCGGGTATTTATCTGGAATATCAGGGTAAAGTGTGTTTTGTCTTGGGTCTTGGGTCTGGAGAAGGTGTTCACGACCGCAAGGCATGCAGCCTCAGCTTGCACTCTGGCCTTTCGGATGTCAGATCGACATACTTCAGATCCCTAGGTCGTGCTGCGCTGGGTAGCATGCTCCGGTCGAGAACATCATGCTGCCCAAATGCAAACCCAGCATCATGGCATGTCCAACAGCACAGCTGCCGATCCACGGCTTATGTTGGATAGCAGAGAGAGCGCCCAATGTTCAGTTCGATAGTAAACCTTCGAAGTAACCCCTCTAGATGCCTCGAAGATAGAACCCGTTAAAGGAGCCGTACAAGTCCCAATCACCCAGGCAGATGAGATGCTGCTGAAGGATTGCCTCTTCCGGGCTGGAGGGGTTCCAGGTACATCCTCGGACCACAGGGGCTCGACAACCTTTACAAACATGAGACGCTGTGTGTTGGGAGGAGCATCACTCTTGTGTAGGGTATGGCTGCATACCCATACAGGATAAGTAAGCACACCTACATATCTGTACACATATACAGACACACACACACACACACGGACAAACATCCGTTCTGCACGCCTCTGAACCTCCAGAAGAAAACCCTCAGCCACGGCCTTTCCTCCTCTCCTCAGACGGCGAGGAGTATCCGGAGCCAAAGGTGCCAATCGACACTCCCAAGAAGATCCCTGCTTTTGATAAGGCCCGGGTTGAGGGTTGCAAGGGCTCACGGCCCCAAACCCCTTTTTGAGGGTTTAGGGCCTTCGGGGTTTTGCCCTAAACCTTTCTTTGTAGAAGGTCTGCGGCCGAAGCCCAAGCTTTGGTTGACTCCATGAGCTCGATGGCTTGGTTCCGTGCCCCGCTGTGAGGTGAACGTTGACGATCTCGCCGACGGACAGCCAAGCCCGCAGCCCAGTGAGCGGAAAGGATTGCTGGGCTTGTCTTGCAGTTTGCTTCCATGCCACTTCCTGCCAGAAACTCACAGAAACTCCTGGTCCCTGAGCTTGAGTAACCTCCGAGCTACAGTCGCTTCAATCCGAAAACCCCCGTACCAGGAAAGAACGCGAGGGCAGCTTTCTATTTGCGGCCGGGATCTCTGCAATGTGAGGTCCTTCGAGTCAGGATAACAGTCTCTGGACCATGGCATCAGCATAAATATTTGGGGTGCCTGGGTCTGCTTGTAGCAAAAAGGCAGCTGAGACGGGAAGTGGCCGGGAGAGTTCCCCAGTGTTTGCATGTACGTGCGAACATAATCACCACGATCATGCCTCATGCACGCGCTCGCAGACTCTTCGAGCTCGAGTTCAGCGTTCCACTAGAAGTCGCTACAAGTGCACGGATGGATCCCCTTCTCGTCTACAGTTGAACTCTAAGATGTTTCAACGTGAATGGACAGTCCGAAGGCTTTGTCAGGGATGTACCAACTTACCAGGGACTAGCAAGGTGGGATCAATTGTAGAGGAATAGAAACTTGTTGGGCATCCATGGATAGAGGGAGAGGAGGCCACCATACGGGTTGCCGGGAACGTCTTGAGACTACAGGTCACGTCGCGGCCGGTGCGGCTGTAATTAGGCTTTGAAGGCTTTGGGAGGCCGGGTTGAGCGAACCTTTGGGCTTTAGTGAACTCCCCGTCTTGCACAAAGGTGGCTGACCACGCTTGTCGGCGACTTGCATCAGCCTCTTCACTGGCCGCCCGCCGAAGTTTGTCGATAGCCTATGTCTTAAGTTGTTCTGTTTGTCAGGGCGAGGTTTTGGAAGTTGAGCTAGGTCCGGCGCTAGGCTTGGTCTCGTGCGTGTTCTCGACACGCCTCAACACGGACTCAGACATGTCGCGAGGCTTGCTGAAAACAGCTTCGGCGCCGATGTCATGCACCCAGATGCAAGAGCAGCAGCAATCAGCCTTGAGAACCATGAGGCAGCTGACCCGAAACAGCCATTCCGTGCGACAGGGGTTGGGCAGCATGATCCGAAGCGTGACGCCTGCAACGGCAGGACATGATACCGAGAACCGAGAGGCAGCTCGCTGCAAGTCTTAGGTGAAGATTGTCTACCAGGGCCAGGAGCACTCTCTGCTGTCATTCTGGGAGGACACCGGCGTCTCAGCAAGCCTTTGCTTCGTGTGGAGCTGCAGAGAGTCTCGAGCTCTTTCTAGACTTGAGAGTGAGTTCCGGCTCCGTCCTTCATGCATTTAATTAAGGTGGGAGGGGGAGGGGAGCCGGGGGCCCAAAATCAGAGGAGCACTTGCCTAAGAAGCTGCCGGAGATCCCCTCGATGACGATGCTGGACTTGGAATACAAAGCTCAGCAGCCCGACCTGTTTTGGGCTTCAGAGCCGAAGATATCCGAGTTTGGGGGATTCGTGCGGGGGATCTCACGTCTCCACCAGGAACAGCCCCGAAGGCACCAGGATTATTCACTCTGGGCACCGGGGGTCCCTGAGCCTCCTCGACTCGTGCCTCTGTCCCCAAGGTATCATCAGTGGGGCCACCGGCTTCCGCCTGAGCTCTTCAGGCAGTGGGCCGGTGAGATGGCCGACAAGGCAAAGGAGGGAAAGCTCAGCTGTATCTTTGCAAGACTGTCATGCATGGGCACAGTGCTATCCTAGGCTGGCAGCCGAAATCGTTTCTTGAGGAAAAACGCCTGATTGCAATTCAACTGTGAAAGAAGCAGGAATGCAGGGGCGGAACGCAAGGTCTTCCCGTAGTCAGCGGAAATTGGGGAGTATACCCAAAGCTCCTCGGCTGGAGGTGTGTAACGAGATCTACGGTCCCATGTACGTGCCTGGGCCAAAATTTGTAGAAGGAAGCCGTGCCTGCGCAGGCAGTTGCACGATGCCGACTTCAGTGTTCATGTCTGGCTTGAAGGTTTCTAAGGTGGCTTGCCTTCCAGCCAGTCCTTCATACTTCGGGGTGTAAACCGTCCAACACCCACCCCACCCCCCCCCTGGTAAATCCTCGTAGCCCTCCACATCTCGCCACGACCTCTCTCCTCACCGCTTTTTCTCCAGGTAAATCATGCGGATGGGAGCCGAAAGATCGAAACTCCGTTTCAGCTCTCTGAGGCCTCCGCACCCACGCTCTGCGGGGGGAAGAGCCAAAGGGGGCTTCAAAAGGGTGGGTTTTGAGTCTCCTTGTAGTCATAGTCAGTGGAAACTGTGGAGTTTTGGGGTTTTCGGGAAGTGTCAGCTTGGACACCTTCACGCGAGGCTCAAGCTTCCGGAATCTTGGAATGTTTGAGCCAGTCTGAGCCTCCTCAGCCCATCTTAGACAGGAATGTGCCCCTGCTTCCGTCCTGGCTCTCAGCTCCATCACCTGGGCTTCCCACGGCCATGCCACAACCTCGACACGCACATCTAAATCGGGCAACATCGTCCTCTACTGAAGTCCTCGTGACTGCTGGAGATGTCGGGTCAATCCTTCCAGATTAATAGCTTCGGGTCAAGACTTGCGTCACAAGTCGGGAAACATACTTCCCGCGCCAGGAGCTTTTTTCCAACTGGGTGAAGCTGGCCGACCAAATGATCCAGGAGCATCGGCTTGGGAGGTGCATGCTGCCGCCTCTGCTACTGATTGAGGGAGGGCTAGTTATTGTAGGTCTTTTGTTTTGTGTCTGTGCGTTTAGTCGTTCTTTGGGTGGGTTCGCTCCATCTGCGCCAGCTTTGTTTTGCTTTTTTTGCTTGTCCGTGCATGTCCGTACACTGAAAGGACCCTCATCCCCTGACAGCGATGCCACTCCTGCCCTGGGTTTTGCGTCCGGTCCTTGCGGTCCAACATCGTCCGGTCGTATTTGAAGTGTCTCCGGTGCGGTCCTACAAGGGTTTTTGCCACTGGTCCAAGCCCCGAATTGAACCAACTGTCTCTGCCCTAATTCGGCTAGCATGTTGCCTTGTGAGCAACTCCGCGTTCAGCACGCTGTTAGCCTTGTGCGGAGACTGTTTCGAAACTGGGCAAGCGTTTTTCATCACGGACAGGAATATCGTGCCAAGGTGCTTTGTTCAGATGACATGTCCGACGTTAAAGCCGGTCAGGTGCAACAATGACTTGGCATTTCGCAACTGCCGCCGGATTCCATCTCATGATCTTCCGAGTGTAACTTGTGTACTCCCAGCATTTCAGTTTTGGAGTGCTTTGCCTCTTGCCCGGCTCGTGATGTTCGCAGCTACCTGTCCGCAACGCGGTGCCAAGCAAGGAAGAGTCCGCATGAGTGGCATGACAGTAGCGTTTGTTTCCGTAATTTCCGTAGCGACAGGAGGGAGGCGAGCGACTAGCGCTGGTCTTCCTGGATATTATCGAGCACCGGCGCCACAAGGCATAGGGGAATGGCTTCCATGATAGCATTGCCGTGGCGGAGGCTCAGGATGTCAAGTGACGGGATGCAGCGGTTCCTATGCATGCAGGACGCAAGGGTCACAATCTAACCCCGGCTGGCCTGGAATGTGGAAAGGAATTAGGGAGATTGGAGGGAAGGCGGCAGAAAACGCAGAGGGGGGGGGGGGGGGGGGGNNGGGTTGAACCTTGAACTGTGTTGCAGCTTATGTCTCAAGCTCAAGTCGAAGTCCAGTCCCCCTGAACCGGGCGTTTCAACAACTGAAGCTTCAGGCGAGTCGCAAGACTTATAGGTCTTGAAAAGAGTGCCACTGCCACGCCGTCCATTTCACAACCTTAAGCCATTTCTTGGAAGGGCCTAAGCCCACCGTCTCATGAGGCAGCGCAAAAGGAAGGGCGTGGTCTGCCGGAGCCCTGGTATCAGCCCTGCTTTCGCGCGTGGAGAGAGTCTTGAGTGACTCCAGCGGTACAGGGATGAATGATTGCTGCTTACATGAGTATAAATCATCAAATCGGTATTGGGTATTTGTTTCACCGGCTTTGGGAGCATTCTGAATAGTTGGGGTTGGCCCGGCTTTTCAATTTCTGAAGACCCCAATTCTCCAAATCGCAGCAATGTGACACGTGCGAGATTTTCCGCGCACGTCGCCCAGTCCTCGACGCATGCATTCCTGGATCGGAGCTTGAAATGCATCCATGATAGTCCTCACCAAGCAGCGCGAGCGAGGGGACCAAGCCTGAATCAGAGCCAAATCTTCTGTGCACCGCAGGCGAACCTAAACCCCAAGCGCAAACGCCAAGACCGCCACCTTTGCTGGCAGCCTCTGTACCCGCGGCGCCGGGGCCTCGAAGAGTGTCGCACCCTCGCTTCGTGCACTTAAGTGCAAATCTGGCACAACCTTTTGACAACTTCACGAAGAAGTCAAGAGAAGTGGCTTCGTTGCAGAGGCATTCTGATGGAAGCACCTGTTTCTTTCGAAGATGAAGTTGCCAGATTTGGAGCTTCAGCACATCGGGCTTCCCCGATCTGTCGTGGTCCAAACTCTGTCATCTTTAGCTTCGGAGAGGCCTTGGATGGAGAGCCCTCCGACCCTGTGGGCTCTGAACTTCACTAGTAGCAGCTAGCCACCTCAAAAAACCGCGGAATCCCAAAGAAGGCAAGATACCTCCGAAGCGCTTTGCAAAGCCCACGGCCGCCTCATCCATAGGAGCGTGGCAGAAGGCGGTTCCGTCCCCAGCTGCATGGGCTTTGTTAATAACACTAGGCCGTTGAAGTGGATTGCAAACTCGGACACGCTTAAAGCAGACATCGAACAAAAACCGGAAATCTGAGAAGAGTCACTTGCAGTTGTGGCAGGCACGGGAGGTCAATAGGACAGGGGGCGGTCGGGCTTGTCTCGAGGATTGGGGTTTACATGGGCGAAGGAGTCAGTGGAGTTTTGTGCTTTTGGTTTGCAACATCTTGGCTTGGTGTTCGTGGTGCCTCAACTGGCGTCTCGTTGTTGGTGCTCGTCTTTGCCTCTCAGAACTACAAGCGGCCTCACCCAGGTGTGCGCATTACTATAGAACTCTACATAGACGCATCTCCGTAATTAGTCATGCCGCTCTTCATGTAAGGGCAGCGAATTGTGGCAGAAGAAAGTTCAGGTTATCCTGTTCGTCGCCGACATAGAACCCTGCTTCGATCAATCACTCTGCCAAGTCGTGGTATCCGTCATCCCGGTTCAACTGAACTCGCAATGCAAGTCTGGCCACCGGCACTGAGCTGAACTGTCAATCTTGACCTTGATTCATCTATTCAGAGAACACCCTTCCGAACAATTGAGAGGATTGTCAGGATTTTGTGGTTGAGTTTTGCTTCTCCCAAACCACACCTAGTTGGCCTTTCCAACATCATCCGAACCTTTGTCTTCCCAATATTTCAGCCCTCGCCGCCAATTGCGACTTGTTTTTTGAGTTGCAGGTCTCAAGATTCCTGGTTTGGGGGCCAAGTATCTTGCTTCCGTGGGGTTGGAAAGGGCGGAAGAAATTCTTCACGTGTTGCTAGGCAGATGGGTTGTGCGTCCCTTAAGTATCTGTTGCCCCTGATGAGTGAAAGCTAGTGTTGCACTTCTCGAACAGTGCTGCTGTGGCAGTGGCTTGCGCAAGTGGAGTTTTCACATGAGCATGTTCTGCAACAGCTGCAATCACCGCTGCTGCTGCCTTCCAAAGGCAGCGGAGGATCTTGCCAACACTGTCTAGCAGTGAAATCCAGGCAAGTCTGCGAACAGCATCCCGGCACCAGTGAAGGCAACGTGGCAGCCAAGCGGGATTCCAGCAGTTGGGATTTAAAGTGTTTCGTTTGGGTCAGGTGGCGTGCATTCAGCGCAATCTCTCAGACATAGACAAAGTCCTTGGTCGCAGCGATGTGAACCAGTTGGACGTCTTCCCGCCCAAATGACGGCGTGCCGGGTTGCCTCTTCAACAGACCCGTCCCACAACCAAGGCCCCATCTCCTTCAACAAGTTTCGTTGACTTTTAGCGACAGGGTTCGGACCTAGCGGCTAAGAAAAACTGCCTTTGGTCTCTGACGGGATGAGGATCTCAAGCTCCAGAGCCCCGATGCCCCAACTCCTCCTATTCGCGAGGGCAGCACGGGCAGCGCGCCCGCCCGACCAGCATTCCAGACTGCTGCTTCGATTGTTTTCTTTCTAAGTATCGACTTTGAGGAGGGTCCAAGAGCTCCGAATGGAGCATTGGTGGCGGGAGGGTTTCCTGAGCTTGTCACGAGGTGGGCTGCAGGGCAGTGCTGTTGCTGGAGCATCTGGAGCTCGTGCTATGCCCAAGCTGTAAAACGCAATCTCTGCTGGCCAGGTCGGGGCAGGCCAAGCTGCTCTATGGCCTTCACAGGCCCATTGGCTCTGAAGCAGCTTGGAAGCTTCAGGGATCTCGGTCTGCTTCAAAGACACCCCTGTATGCCTCCCGCACTCACATCCCAAGAAGCCCCAAGAGCCTTTAGCTCTCCTTTGAAGCAGACGCGCACTCAGTTTTGCAACCTCAAAAAGATTAAGCTCTAGGCGCGCGTTCAAAAAGTGCCAGTCCGTCTAACCTGGAGTGCAAGCCAGCAAACAAGCAAGCGTCAAACCGAAGCGCTACAATCTGCTCCGGATGAGACATCTGAAAATTGAAACGTTGAGCTCACGGAGTGTTCTTGAGATCAAAATCAAAACAGGTAAGCCACAAGCCTGGAAGCCAAGATACACCAAACCCGAAGCCAAAGGCCCTTCCAATGCTCGACCCTGCCTCAGTCTCAAGTCTCAAAAGCTTGGAATGCCAGGGCGAGAAGAAAGAGGGCGTGGCGAAACTTGACCATCAACCTCATCATAGCAGCCCGTGGCCCTGGACATTGCGCATTCCGGCAAACCGATAAGCAGAGTCAAGTTCAACCAGACATCGAAACATGCCCAGCCTCTTGTGATAAAGGATCTTTGTCGGGTATATTCTAGAGTTCGTTGAGCTTGGGATCGGGAGACGCAGCAGATGCCACATGTTCCCGAACTAGCCGGATGTCCTTCCTAGGCCGTCGTGGTGCCAGCTCTTCTGTTCGGCCTCCACTTGCACAGCAGGCAGGATCTGCTGGCATCCTGCAGACAGGCAAGAGAAACCCCACAAGACCCCAGGTATGAGCTGCAGAACTGTCCTTCAAATCCAAATCTCATGCCCAGAAATATTGATCGGTTGAAGCCCTCGGTGCCCTCCTGGCCGCAGGTCCCCGGGAAACCTGGCCAGGATGTTTGCCCTCGGCAAGCACGAGCACATGTGACAGAAATAGAAACGGCAATCGAGATCACACCAGGACCTGCCTACCTGCCGTAAAATGCGCGGTATCAGGTTTCCTACCCAAGCTTTGCTGGGGATCAGGGCTCATGCTTCAGTTGTAGACCCAAGCCGCAACAATATACCTGGTAAGCTGTCCTTTCCTCAGCATGATCTGAGCACCGCAGCACAATCATGAGCTTCCTTACACTCGAGTTATTCTGCGGTTCCAAAGGCCAGGTCGGTCGGGTCTAGTAATTATCTCTAGCGATGGTACTAGCTAGCTACTGCTACCTATCACTTCGATGTTTGCTGCCGCTGCTGCTGCTGCTGCTGCTGCTGCTGCTGCTACTGCTACTGATACTACCACTACCACTCCCACTCCCACTCCTACTACTCCTACTACTCCTACTACTCCTACTCCTACTCCTCCTCCTCCTCCTACTCCTACTACTACTACTACTACTACTACTACGACGATGACTACTACTACTTGTTGCAGTACTTCTGCTACGTTGCTTTTGCTTCTACATCCTGTTACTTCTTCAACCGATCGTCTGTGCTTGCCGTAGACACGCGCACCATCAACTCGGACGTGCCGACGTTCCAGCTTCAACTACAACCGTCAACCAAGCCACCCACCCACCGATCCACTCACGCACTCATGCCAATGGCATGACTCCTGCACCCTGCATCCCAGTGTACAACCTTATCCACGCCATAGGCACGCACACAACAATAACTCAAGAGAAGCCACAGCCACGGCAGAGAACTCCACCTTCGGAGCCATGTCGGGCGAGGAGGTTTGTGGTGACATTGTGGCAACCCAGCTGCGGAAAAGAAAGGGTTCAGCCTTAATGATCATGCGTGAACGAATGGCACAGTTGGTGTGCTGCGGCGCGATGGCTGCCGCATTGTCCACGATTCCGAGTTTGCTTATGTTTGGTTACTTCGCGCTCCACCGTTTGGGATAGCTGGCTTTTCCATTTGTAGCGACATTCGCGGATTTGAAATGTGGACTCCACATAGAGTGTCTTGATCGAAGGTTTTGTGGAAGACCCGCTTTGAAGAACGTCAAGCGGGATACAGTGTATTTGGACCGACCATGCAGCACTTGGAACTTTAACTCACACCTCAGCCAACCTGCCAAACTAGCACCGAAGCTCGCAATGATGAGCCGGTCATGCTTCCCAAGATCCTCTGAGGCATCGACCCCAAAGCTTTAACCTGAACAAGGTCCATAAGGTTTTTCTATGCGAGTGACGGTTCGAATGCTAATCGCCCTCCAGAGGTGAAGGGCGAGGTTCCAGGAACATGATTACATACAGTTATTAACTGTCCCTACAAAACCAAGAAGTGGCCTGGCATAAACCACTGAACACGGAAGAGCACCGCCAGAGCACATGTTTGCCGAGGTAGACTTCAACTCAAACGGGCGCAGGGGAGATGAGACAGCCAGGTAGCACTTCCGATGCGCGAGGTTAAAGTTTGGAGCTTGAGAAGCCTCAGGCCTTAGGTGCCGACAAGCTTAGTTTCGCAGGCTCCGCCGACGAGCCTCCGAGATGGAAGGTAGTTGGGCACTAAGCAGCATGCTTGATCCCCCCAAAAGGCATCAAATGCAGGAGCAATCAGATTCCCAGTAGATCGCACCAAAATCCAACTCAACATATGAAGATAGAAGAGAACGACCAACTGTAGTAGTAGCTTACCTGACAAAATGGTCTTGTTGGAGTATGAGCTACGGGCCAGATTCCGCAAACCTTGCTCGTAATCGCACGTTGTCAATCACCATCTGTGAAGCCGCCGCACGTTCCCACGGTGTCACCATCGTGTCAAGAGAGGCAGGGCACTATGGCAACCAAAACACTGCAGCAAGAAGTAGTATTGACGATGATCATCATCATCCTCGTCATCATCATCATCATCATCATCTCAATCGCAACCTACAAAACCCTGAGCCACAACAGCCTTACTCAGCCCTGCCCCTGTCAGCCACAACTCGGACGGCACCCGGGCAGCGATGACGTTTAGCCGCTGCCACACCCCTCCACCGGGTACCGAGAGCTTCCCGGCCAAGTGAGAGGAATCCATTTCCGGCTGCATGGCATTGCTGAGTTTCATACTGTAAGGTGATGTAGGATTCAGGGCAGTTGAGTATGTAAGGTATGTAAGTGTAAGAGTATGGGCCCGCTGTGGCTTAGGGCACAGGCTTGGGCTCGAGAGTTTTTTGCTTTTCGAATTTCTCACTCTAGGTACTGGTGTTCCCATGGTCTCGGGTTCTTGAATACGGTGTTCGGAATTTGGGGACTGCTTTCAAGAAAGCTCAAGTTCGGTCCGTCGTGGGCTCCAGCACTTCGTCGCAAGAAGCCGTGCGGAGTATCGCTTGAACATGGATCGCAGCTCACATTTCCACAAGCCCCAATCACTTCGGGCAATTCTAGCTCAACTTTAGGTTCAAGGTAGGGCACTTCCCAAGCATCACAGATGCTTGAAGACAAGATCAGGTCCTCCCATATTCGTCTCCAACCTTGAAGCCTGCAGCAAAATCTGGAAACTTTTAGCGTCAACTTGCGAAAGCAGCCGCTGACTACCAAGAAAGGTTTGGACTATGACCTTCACGAGCAGCTCGGCAAGTTTAGCCGAACCCGGTACTAGCTTGCATCTTTTGCGTAAAGATGGGAGATAGTTGCGGTGGGCTGGGCCCCGGTGCCCAAAGCCTGGGGGTGCTGATGAGGCCTGGCTTGCCCTACTTGGGGGTGGCCTTTGCTTAGTTGGTTCTATCCTGAGTCTCACCCTACTTCTAACGTAATGGCTAAGTCCTCTGGGCCTCCGAGTATGCTGAGGAGCCCCATGATCATGCAGTTTGTGAACAATCAGCAGATGGCGCTGACCCAGGGGAACTGCTTTCTCCGATCTTTGGGTCAGAGTTCCTTGTCTGAGCTTGCGATGGCTTGCTGGGAAGCGGCTTGAAGCTCAGAAGTGTCGGGATCCATGGCTGTGAATGAGGCTTGTTTGAATGACTGCTGCAGTCGGGATCGCAGCCGTTTTTAGTGCTAAGGCTGAGATGCTTTAGGTCTTAGCAGCCCTGCACTTCTTTGTGCGTGACACTCGCAAGTACACGTTGTGTGCCCGTTGAGCTTGGCCTATCAGACTGCAGGCAGCATCTATGAACTCGCCTCAGGCTGTAGATGCAGACAGAGAGACAAACCGACAGACAGACGGACGTTTGAGATAGACAGAAGGTATATAGGAAATTTCCCAGTACAGAAGTGTGTACGCATGCAGATTCCTTCGTATTCATCTTGCTGCGCCAAGGTAGCCTCTGGAGGCCATGTGCCGGTGCCGGGGATCTACCAGGGGTATAGCTCGGTCACAGCTTCATTTCACCTATGTGTTGTTGGCTTCAGTTTTCGGATTTAGCAATACGACGTGGGCGCAGAAGTCATCACTCGACCTGGACTCGACAAGCCGATTTTCAACGATCTTCGAAAAGTCCAAACTGGTTGGATTGTTGTGTTCATCTCTCGTCGACTGAGACAGACGCCCGGCACCGTACGCGTTTTGTCGTAGAGGTTTGCCTGCATGCTTGACAGCCACCCAGTGCAGTGGCGTTCGTTTGCAAGGCCTGGAAGCACCTGAATCGAAGCCCCTCTGGATTGCAAGTCTCTAAACCTACGCCTTCTTGCAGGCAGAACGGCCGTGGTATCATCCGCTGGCTCATCATCTGCCTAGCGGGACTTAGCACAGGCCTCCTCTGGTTTGGAGCAAGAGGACTCTGCACAATCGGTCATGGAGTGGAATCCTACATGAAGCTCGTATTCTGTCTGAAATTGACTGTCAACACACATGCACGCACATATTTATGCTTATATCTAAATGCATGTTTGTATTTTAAATCTACATTCATATGTCTGGTAATTATATCTATATCGTAATCAGCATATATGTTTGTACATACATTGTCTCATACTAGCATGATACGTAATATGCATCTACTAGAGACTTGTTAGTCATCTTTATCTACGTCCCTGGGCCGTCCCTGCAGGCTTCGTTGCCTCGATGATCGACCTGGGCCTGGGGTATTTTCAGAAGCTGGAGTTCTTCCTTCTGACGCCGGGCCGGGACATTTTGGGGTTTCTGCGACACATCAGAAAGGGCTTAGCAGAGCAGCTCAGCTATACACCTCCAGCCTGGGAAGTTGTATGAAGCGGGGCTTAGGTCGACTTCATACACCGCTTTGGCGAAATATGAGGGAGACTGCGATAGCACCCAGATCAGGAAATCCAGCATCAAGGCCAACGATCACTGGGCCCCGACGATCCTCGGCCAACAATCGATCAAAAGCCCGGGTTCGGTTCGAAGATCCGGGATTCAAACTCGGACGGTTTGAGGCGTGTAGCTCCGAGCCCCTTTTCGAGGGCCAGGGCGATTCGTAGAGCAGTCCGAGAGCTCAGAGCTTTGAAGAACCTTAGATAACCCATCCGCAAGCAACACTACACTTCATATCTTAGGTGTTTCGGGAAGTCGAGACCGCTGCATGCTGCACCAAGGTATTTCGTGTTCTTGGCATTTCGCATGGCGTTGGCCAGCGTGGCAGGTGCGACAGTCTTTCTAGGTCCCCTTTTCAGAACTCGACATGAATCTTTTGGGTTGTTGGGAAATTCCTTCGGGGAAGGAGCCCCCACGTTTTGACGAAAGTGTGCAGCTCTCAGTGGTTTGCAGATGCCTGTCGTAGGGCAGACATTGGAGAGCAAACCCTACGCTAGGTGGGATCGCGGTCCTCACATGGACGAGAACAGTCTAGCGGTAGGCTGTTTCGGGGTCGCTCTCTCCCTTTGAGCCTTTGGTGGCTCCGCTGCCCGAAACCTCCGAGGGCCACGAGTGTTGCGGGGATAGGGGTTGGGCAGTGGTAGGATCGTTGTAGCGTTTAGGTTTGGGGTTTCGGACTTCAGTGATTCAGGCGTTTAATGGTTTGTGGTGTCGGAATGTGCGTAGATAAGTTGTTTTCCGGGTTCCTTGTTGTAACTCTCGTATATTTACTCCCCCAAACCGGAGGCCAACTAGCAAAGCGTCCTAGATGTAGCAAGTACAACCTGCGAATACCTGCGAAGCAGGGCTTGCATGGGGAAGCCGGAAGCACCAAGAGGCTACCTAAATTCCTTACCTCATGAATCCACCTTACGGACCCTCAGTATGGTTACCCCATCAGACATCGAAAAGTTGGTGTTCCTTCGCAATTCGATAGGACATGTGCATGTCTTTGGGCAATACCAGCGCCGTAGCACGGGGCGTCGTTTGACGAAGTGAAAGCACCGGGATTTTCATTGAAGCTTCCTGAAAAGAATTTGCCAGACGGCTTCGCCCCGTCACATCCCCCCTAACCTTCCCGAGTCGGCAGCCCAGAGCCCTATTGGGCACCCCTAATGCCCAGTTTAGTCACCCCCAGCCGTAGCCCCGTGCCTCCGAGCCTTCAAGAGGCTTCTGCGTTTGTTTCGTGGAGCCTTTGGCTGCTGGATCTGGAATCCCCGAGATCAAGTCTTTCCTGAACGGCGGCTTGGCCAAAACCCAGTTACCTTCGGCCCACCGCGGCAAAGCTTCGGGAAGGGCTCAAAGAGGGCTTTGTTTTTATGTTGTTGTCCTCTTGGTCTTCAATCTGCCTGCTTGGCATCAAGTCATCGTGGTCGGATCATTAGTTTTACTCGTACATGTACGGCTGGAAAGCTCGGGGTCTCGGGCTCAGGGTTTGAGGCTTTCCGGCCAACATGTTCACAGCCTTTGCTTCATGTCCGCAGGATTTGGATGCACAAGCTAAATGCTTGGCCTATGCGAGAATCCGTCTTTATTGGACTTTACGGCAGCATCACGCACAGACTGGAAAGCTGACCTCAAACCTGAAGCCACCTGACCTCTCACCCAAGCACCCCTAACGTGCCAAAGCACCTCCCGGGCCTTAGCCTGCCGCAGAAGGTCCTTGGACCGGAGGGCTTAAGGCTTCAGGGTTTCACGGTTGGTACTCGTAGGGCCGCAGGGTGGTCCTAGTCAGTCCTGTCCGAGCAGCGATCTAGAACCTGGTGTCAGTGCTTCGCCGTCAGCCGCCATGCAGCTGCGCCAGTTGCTTTTGGCCTTAGCAGCCCTGTCACTGGTGCAACATTGCTTTCTTGGGCCTCGTCAGAACGAGGCTGGCGGCTTTCCATTTCTGAACGCAACGCTTTGTAACTTAATCACCTTCACCGAGGATGTCTGAGTCTAGGCACTGCTCTAGGCACCTTGCAAACGAGCAGCTTCTACTAGGATGGGGTACTGTCTCGTGCAATGAATGCTTGTTCGGCCGGTCCGAGCCTTGCTGCTGGCGACTTGCAATCCTCCCTGCTGCGCTATAAGTTCTGTCTCCATCTCTGTCCCGACAAGAACTTAAGACTTTGACCGCTGTCACCTTAGAGCAGCCACAGTCTGATAGACCGCGAGCCGGAGTCCTAGGCCGAGGCCCGTGGCGACTTCTCTTCAATCTCCAACAAACAGCTCGGGACCCGACAACCACACCCAAACCTTTAACCCCAAGCCCGCAAGCCCAAAGTTCTCGTTTATGTAAACAAGCAAGTTCGAAGAAAAAGGTCCGGAAAACGTTTCGAAGTCCTATAAGAAACCAACACTGTAAGCCCGAAAAAAGCAAAGCCCCAAGCCTCATAAACCCTAAAGCTTTGCGCAAATCCCTGCAAGGCCCCTTTTGCATCGACGTGAAAATCCTAAGCTCCTAAACCCTCAAATCCTAAACCACCACGCCCTTGAAACAACCCCGAGCGGAATCCCTACAGAAACCTAAACCCGATTCTGTTCTCTTGGACGAAGGCGCCGCGAGCCCGGCTCGTACTGCGGCGGGCGGCGCCGCCCGTCGAGCTGGCTTCGGAGTTCCTGGCAGGATGGGAGAGGACTGCGCTCTGGGGGGGGCTTGCTTTGTGAATGCAAAGTTTCATTAGGTACATGTCGCCACATCAAATAAAGATCCGACAACTAGCAAAGTCATACATCCTCAGCGACGAGCCCGGTTAAGAAAAAAACCCTGTAAATTCCAATATAGATTGGGAGAAGTCAAGAAAAGCCTTTGTACTCGTAAGACACCCACCTCCAAAAAAGCCGCGAGGCAGGAGATGGCCCAGAAGAAGGCGGGCGCGGCCCCGGCAGGGCTGACGCCTCCAAAAGAGATCAGTGAGGCCGAGGAGCTGAGGCTGGGAGTTTGGGGGTGTGTTGTGATTCTTCTTTTTTTGAGGTGGCGGGGGTTGGTTGAGGGTATGGGGATGCGTATGGTTAGGTTTTAGGGGGTTGTAAGATATGAACAGTCGCGGGTTGTTGGGATTCAGGATTTCTGTACTCTTAATAAGGATGTCAAAGGGATGCATAGGGACTTTCGGTTGATCGCTTTAGGGTTAGGCACTTGATGTGAGGGGGTTTCAAGAGGTTGCAGTGAGGGCTCCCCATATGGTGTTGGTACGGATAGAAGGGCAGCTTCATAAGGAAGGGTGTTCAAAGGGCGGCAGGGCTTTGCCGAGTGTTGTGTTACAGCTCTCAGGGTTTCAGGTCAGGCCTCTGGTCATGGAGCACAAAGTCACCCGGTTCGGAGCGAAGTTCAGTCGGCAGCCCATGTTACGGTTTTAGAATAAGGATACTGCGATTGCAGCTGCTGGAACGAGAACTTATGCCAACTCAGCGTCGCCCATTCCCTGGATTTTGCTCAACTGTCGGGATGGCAAAGTTCTCAACAAATCTGAAACTAGAAGAAGGTCTGCGATACAGACGCTGGCGAAGTCCAAGAGCATGCAGAGCTTGAGGCTGGGCATCATGGCCCCCTCGGGGGAAGCCCGGGGCCCAGAGCGCAGGGAACGGCATCTGAGATGTGGTGGTTCAAGGCATCGAAACCCACCCTTGTACTCCACATTTGTCGTATCTGACGGATCGTGCCTAAGCAGACGCGCACACTTCGAAGTCAGCTGAAAGCTGCGGACCCACCACGGCTGCTAACCCACTCAACTACCAAGCAGTCCGGCACGCAACCTGTGTCCACGACACATCAGCCCGACAGACCACTCAGAAGTGAAAGCCGAGCAGCGTCTTTGACCGAGGCTGCGCTTACCGCCATGCAGAACTGGGTGGAAGGCCAGAGCATTTCCCACTTGCTGTTGAATTTTTAGACGTGCGAGTGCCCGCGACATTGGTATTGGTGCAAGGAAATGGGTTCAAGTTCAAGCTTATCAGTTTGGCATCGCGAATGTTTCTCAGCATGACCGACACCACACACTCCACAGCAGACTGTAGTTGATGGATGGCATGCCGAGGAGCTTGCAGCCCGCGACATGCGAAAGGCAACAGAATCTGCAAGCACATCCGCAACACCCACCACCCTGAAAGGCCCATCTCTGAAACCCCATGTAAAGCCAGATAACACCTGCAGACGAGATGAACTCCGTACGGAAGCGTATTACAAGACCGCTATTGTCCCGAAACCCCGTTTGCATCCCTTGTCCCGGACACTTCTTGTTCAGGCCTGGAGCTCGATAGCCCGGCCGATGGCGTGATGGCAGTGGACGACGAAAACTCGCAGCCTGTCCTCGCATTACCTGGTGACTGGGTTTACCGACTGGGTTCAGGGTTTCGGATTTAGGTTCCGCAGGTTTCAAGTCAAGGTCCTTAGCTCTGGTCCCCGGGGTTTGTTGGGGTTTCAGGTTTATCTTTCCTCATACGCAGCCAGTGCAAGAGAAGCTTGCGCTGGTGTCTGAAGCTCCAAAATAAACAAAGCCACGGCTCTTGAGACGCAGCCCTGCTTATTAGGTGTGCTTAACCTAACAACATCCCCCCCTTTTCTGAGAGATGCAGGCCCTTGGACATGTCGGAGATCGCCTCGGGGCCTGTGTACCTCAAGTACCAGCTCCCTGGATTTGCTGGTGTTCTTTGGGATGGGTCCATGTCCACCTCAGGGCTTATAGTAGGTTCCCTTCAAAAAGCAGAACGACACTGCACGCATCGCGATCCCTGATCTTAGCCCAGCTTGCTTGATTAAACAGGAGCGTTCCAAGTCGTTCTTGCTGCCAGACGCACTTTCCCACAACCCAGGTACAGCTTCGGAGATCCCGCAAATCGAGCGGACAACGGCAACCCCTCCAAAGAGAACGTAGTCCCGAAGGCTGGTTGCTGTTCAGGTCTTCAGGTTTCTGACTTGAGGCGTCTATTGGGGCTCGGGCAACATCAAGCAAAGCACGTGCGGTGTTGAGCCTCGCGGTGGACACATCCTGAAAGTTCGGTTCTGCCGGCAACAGTCCCTACATGGCTGAAGCCCCGATTGGTTTTGCTTGGAGCCCTGCTCGCTCCCAACAGGTGGGTGCCTACATGAAGAGCTGCCCATTTCCTGGGCGAGGCTGGATCGGATGGCGGGCATGTTGGGACCACAGAGTGAGTATCAGGAGTCGCCAAAGCTACCATGTCTTCCGTCAGAGCGGCTTGGAAATTGGATTGACTTGAGCGTCTCATGCAGGTCGTCGTTGGTCTGAAGCGACACAGGTCGAACGTCGTGGTCTTCCTTTCTGCCCCAAACTAGATGCTGTGGAAGAGGAACTTCACAGGGAGTTCACGCCTGACAGGCGTGTTGTTCAACCCCGAGCTCGGCGACGGGGAGATGCGACACCCGGCATCATCATGCCGGGCTTCTCAACAGAAAGGACTGGGGCCCTTGTAGATTGTAGTACTGATCCTCATTGCCACGTGAGATTTATACATCAGAGCCCCCCATCTTTGAACTCGGACTTGCCTGGCATAACATGACTTTTTCCGAAGACATCGGCTTAGTGGATCCTCCCAACCCGGGTGTTGAAAAGAGCGAGGCCATCTGGAAGCTGGTTTAACTTAGGGTTTCCAAAGTTGGGATCCTTCGAAGTCTAGTGCTTAGACTGGGAAGGCCGCCTTAATTCTTACACTCCCATCTTGTGAGCCATCGCTGTAGTTTGATTTGCTATCCTGCTGCAGCAATCCAAGGAATGTACGGCGACTTCCCCTTGGCCTTGTTCGGCTGGCCTGCAGACGCCCTTTGAGGGCCTCTGGCTGGTGGCCTTCAATCTCTCTAGAACGTAGCCTAGGAAAAACCAATAGGATTGAGATCGGTTCCATGGCGGCTCAATGCGGCCAGACACGACCTTGTCGTCGCGAGACGAAAAAGGCCGAGAGCACGACTGCTGAGTTAGGGGCTTTGCTGAGTGACAGGACTTGGGGTTCGAGTGAGCTCTTGAGGGGCGCTGCTCCAGGGTTTGGGTAGTTTGGTTCAGTTTGGACCGGGTTTGCAGCTTGAGGCACGGAGCACTGCACAAATCCTGTGCCGGCTCGTCGTGCACACGGAATCCCAGACAGCACAAACCAAGATTTCATACTTCTGAGGTATTCACATGCCCCGGATGCTGGATGTCAAGACCCTGGTTGCTAAAGCAGCCCGGGCCTCAGCGCTGTTCGATTCTATTCTGTTCTATTCTATGATATCATATCATATTATATGATACTATACTGCATTATAGTATTATTGTCATTACTATTATGATCATTACCATTATTATCATTATCATTATGATCATTATCATTATCATTACTGTTATGATAATATTAATGTTATTGTTATTGTTATGGTTGTTGTTATTATTATTATTGTTATTATTATTATTAGTAGTAGTAGTAAGTAGTAGTAGTAGTAGTAGTAGTAGTAGTAGTAGTAGTATTTCTATATGTATATGTATATGTATATATATATATATGGTCACACCCCCCCCCCCATGATCCACCCGAGCCTTCTTGCCACCTGTTCGTCCACAGTCTTCTGTTTCCCAATGCTTTCTCCGAGGCCCCGAAACCATCGGTATTTACAATGGTTTCTGCACTTCACATGTACTGACCTCTACTTATTGTGCTTGTTTGTGGTGTGTGTTAACCACCCAAAACCCAAACCAGAATC